GTGGGTAGTGCCTCTGCGAAAACTCTTAAAAACACTGGGGAGACTGGGAGGGGTTGGGGTCCCACATGAGATCCCTGGAGTGGTAGGCCTGGACAGCACCTCCCCACCTTTGCAGGAAGCCCCCACCGCCTCCCGGCCAGACGTTTCAGGGTTGATTTTTGCTCCTTTCAACACCCACATCCACCCTTCTTGCACAAACACACCAATGACCAGACTTTTGAGATGTCCTTTTTACAGTTTTCACACCTTCTCTGAATGCTTCAATTTTTCCTGCCCCACACCCTCCAGCTCATAAGCACTCCGTTTCTCCTGGAATTCAGACTGCGGAAAATTCCGTGTGCTTTTCAAAGGACACTGAAGCTGCTTCATTGGTGCGTGCAATGCTGCCAAAAACAAAACAACATACATTCTGTGTCTGAAGCCCATGCTGAACACCCAGGAACAGGTCTGCCCCTGGGCTGTTCCTACAGACAGAACCAAGGAGCAGAGGCAGGCGCCTGACCCCTGGGCTCATGCCCATTTTTCAGGCAAAGTGACTCAAAACCATCTGTCCTAAAAGCAGCATAGCCCTCATCAGCCAGCTGCCTGTGTTTTTGAAAATGTAGACCGGATGTGGAAACATTTGGCCCCTCCCGGCTCTAGGGCTCTTTGGAGTTACTGGCACTGTGTGCAGGAGGCATCATGGAGCCCCCACATAATCTAGTAAGGAGCCGTCTCCCCTGTAACCAACAGCACCGAGATGCCAGGCCCAGGCTGTCCTGTTTACAACAGTGGGTCCCTGGCGGCCCACGCCAGGCTTGACCCCAGCCGACCTGTTTATAACCCTGCATCTCCCAGCAGTCCCACAGACAACTCCCACAGTGAGAGAGGCGACGGCTAGGCCCTGAGGTCTTAGCTGCATAGATCCTGTTTCTTTACAAGGGGGCAAAAAAGATCCGAGCCCCAGGGTGTCTGGGCTCCCCCATGCCTGACCCCATGCCTTTGATTCTCTGCGTGTGCTAAGCTGCTGGCCAGGACCTGGAGGACGAGAGGGGCTGCGCCATCTCCCTCTGGCGTGGTCCATGCAGGGAGGGTGTGACATTCCCCAAGGCTGAGGTCACTGCTGGCCCATCTTGGGGTCAGGGCCCAGGCTTCGGCCAGAGGGTGTGGCATTGGTGGGGCCGTGGCCTTAGCCAGGGAAGGCCGTTTATGGAGATTTACGAGCCTAAGTGCCTTTAGCGCCGAAGCCACTCCCTTTGCCTGTAAAAGGCCAATGACCACAGACAGACCTGTAAGGTGTTATTTCACTTAGTTTAAGTCAGACAGAGAAAGACAAATACTGTATGTTTCCACTTACATGTGGAATCTAAAAAATAATACAAATGAACAAGCATAACAAAACAAACAGACTCAAGATCAAGAGAACAAACTCATGGTGACCAGTCGCGGGAGGGGCAAGTCAGGGATAGGTGATTAAGAGGTAAGAACTATTATGTATAAAATAGATAAGGCACAAGGATATACTGTACAGCATGGAGAATATAGCCAATAATTTATAATCACTATAAATGGAGTAAAATGGAGTACAGTCTGTAAAAATTATGAATCACTGTGTGGTACACCTGAAACATAGAATATTGTAAATTAACTACACTTCAATAAAAAAAGAAGAATCAAAAATTTTAAACATGTTTCCAGGACTTGTGTTTTAAGAATTCACAGAAATAGCAAAATTAATTGGTGGAGAAACAGGAGTATTCAGAAGCATCTGGAGAACGGCTGTCAAAACACTTTGACTGGATCTTCTCAGATTGCCTGTCCCTAACCAGCCTCAGTTTGCTCTTGCTGCTTCTGTTTCAGAACTCAGCTCCTACATCACATGGAAAAGGACTAGAATTTTTGCATTCAACCAAGGTCAAGATGACCATTGGGACTAAAATGGCGGCTACTCTGTTTAGTGACTTGTGTGTATTTCCTCATCATGGCTCTAGAAGTTTTGACCTCCTCTCACATCTTTGCTCGCTGTCCTACAAACCCCAGTTGTGAGGACAAAGTCATATGATTAAATTGTGTCTTCACTCCTTGCTGGTGCAGTGACTGCTTTGCTTCTGCTCAGTGCTGTGCTTTTTCCTCCTTTCATCATTGTCTTTGGTTAACTTTACACCAGCCATTCCAATCTAGGACTCTGTCTCTCCTAGCAGAGTTCCATTTTTATTTCCTGACCTCTAAATAATAGGATCATTTACATTCATCTGATTGCATCTGCTCTAAACCTCGGTGGGATAAACAAAGCACTGTCTAGAGAAAACGTGATTAGAAGATGTTATTAAATTCTTTTCTCTTCTTCTTAATTTCCAGTGAGTTCTTCATGCCTGGGCTGGTTGATACACACATTCATGCCCCTCAGTACTCTTTTGCTGGGAGTAATGTAGACCTGCCACTTTTGGAGTGGCTGACCAAGTACACGTTTCCTACAGAACACAAATTCCAGAGCATCGACTTTGCAGAAGAAGTGTACACCAGAGTTGTCGTAAGTATCCTGCTTGTGAGTGCTGGTGTTACGCTCAGTCAGCTACAGAAACATCCATTTCTTGGGGGCAGATTTACGGTGTAAGTCACAGGCGGTTAAGGTCATAACGGACTGTAGAGACTTTTTTTAGTTCTTTGAGTGAGTTTGTGGCCACTTCACCTACATAGCTAGTCACTAACAAAGAGACAAGTTGAATCTAAATCCCCAGATCCCCTGGGTTCTCATTACTGTCTTTTCCTTCTTGTGTTTTACTTTACTAAATTTGGGCTTAATGCATATGTGTGTTCCTTTACTCCTGCCAATCCACAGTGCTCTTCTGGGTGCCATATGGAATAGCTGTGTAACCTTTGGAAAGTTCTGTGACTCATTTTCTCAGTCTGTAAGAAAATAAATTTTTTTAAAGAAATGGAGATAATGATAGTACCTACTTCATAGGATTGTTATGATAATTAAGCAAGTTAATACTTGTTAGGTTCTTAAAATAGTGCCTGACATATGTATCTGCTTTAAAAATACCTGAGGGAATCTAAAATTAAGATACCACACTATTTTGATAGGGGAAATAGGAAGGCCCCCTCTTGCGGGGCCTGTGGGACTGTGATGAGAGTTATAACCACTAGAGGGAACTGTGGAGCTGGCTCAGTCGGAGCAGTGGCTGTGGCGTGTGCCCACTATACATTGAAGGCTCTGAAAATGTCCTTTCTTCTACCCTCTCAAGAAAATCAGTTCCCTTTTTTCCTACTCCAGCCCTATGCCCAATCCACTCAGCAACCAGCAACCGCTTCTGCAGTTGAGAATTAAAGCTGAAAATATCTTATCTGACCACTACCTCTTGTTCAGCACAGTCTGAACATTTTTTGTTGGACCCTTAGATGGTTTTTCTCTTAAAGTGATGGCTATATGATGATGACAGTTTTATAAGCCTTACACAGTGACTTGGCCACTCTGCCAGTTTCCCAGGTCTTGGCATCAGTCAAGCCTTGAAGAGTAAAAGCAAGTGCTATCGTTTATACACTTGCCTCGCTTAAGTATAAATGCAGTGTAACTGTGGATCTTACGTATTTAGCTGGCATCCACATGACACCAGGAAGACTGAGGACTGAAGCTATGTATGAAGTTGCTGGTGCACTGTGTTAATGAATTGTGTTAACCACACCAAATCTTTTTATTTTCAAAGTTTATTTATACCTTGCATTGTTCTAAAAAGGGGTTAGAGATATCTTAAAATTGCATTGTCTACAAGAGAAGAAAATGAGTCACAAAATCACAGCAAGGAGGGGAAAAAAGGAGGAAAAAATAAAATAAAACCGAGAGGGGTCTATGTGCTTATTAGTTTATTACAAACTTTTGGCTTTAAGTGTTTAAGTATTTTTTTCCCCTCCTCCTGCTTCCCCTACCCACCCTGCCCTCTCTCCCTGTTTCTTTCTCTTACTTTTACTATATTCTTCTCTCTAATCTGCTCCTTCTTATGGTATCAACTCTTAGAAAAATGGTGAAAGGTCTGTATACACTTTGTGCTACATTCTTAGAGAATGCCAGTGGCTCAACTTTGCAAGTTATTAATTCACTCTCAGTGTTACTGTTCTCAGGCAGTGCTACTCACTCTCAGGCCTGTTGCTCTTTCAAGGATACAAAGTCCTATCCTATACATGTAACAATGCTCATTTTAATTCATTTTATGCCTCTTGTTGCATTGGTAATTCTGCTTCCCTAGGTGTTCATTCAGTAATATTTACTAAGCACACACTAGTATCCAGGCACTTTTCTGATTGCTAGGTATTGAATTTGATGCCTCTGTCATGGTGTTAACCTTTCTTTTGGGTGTGTGATTCTGATACAAGGGTAGCTCACCCTTTTCTATAGCTGACAGGCTCTAAACATCCTTCACTGACAGCCAGACATATTTTATTTCATGTGCAAAGTGTGTTAAACTTTGAAAAGATTGACATAAAAATCCAGTTTTCCTAATTATCTTGATCTTCAGGACTGACATCACTGGTCTCTCATTTTTTTAAACAATTGGCTGAAGCTGAGTAGAGGCTGCCGCCATAGGGCATGTTCTTCCCTATCATCTTAAATCCAAACTCTTTTCCTCCTGCAGACATTTACGTTTCTAACCCACCCCCATTCCAGTCAAAAGGGTCCCTTTATTTCATAAATGAGAAAACTGATGTTGAGAACGTAAAGCAACTTTCTCGAGGTCACATAGCTCCTATTATGCAAGAAGCAAGTAGGAACTCCAGTGCACTTTTTCCTCTGCCCTTTAAAATGCTTCCGCTCTGTGTCGGGGCTGGGGGTATATGGGATATCTCTGTACCTTCCTCTCAATTTTGCTGTGAACCTAAAACTGTTCTAAAAAATTAAAGTCTTAAAATTTAAAAAAAGAAGAAAAAAACGCTTCTGCTTGAGACAGACCCGACTCAGGTCAATCAGTACTCTTCCAAGTGCTCGGGTAAGTCAGACACTATCAGTTCCATTTTCTTTCCTAAAATCTTCCCCACTGCCTCCCTTTCTGTGTTTCACTCTGGTTGTGATTGTCTCCAGCGCTGCTGTATTCTGGGCATTCCCTTTGCTTCTTCTCTGTGTTTACTTCCCATTTTCTGGATCCAAGAATTCTTTTTTTTTTTTTGCATCACTTTCACATTTTGTTAAAAGACTCCTTTAGGAGCTTTCTAAGCTCTTAAAGGGGAGAGATGTTCACGTCTTTGTGTCTCTAATCATATCGCTATTCTACCTTCACACTTGACTGATAATTTATCAGGGTATAAAATTCTACTTTAAAAATAACTTCCCTCCAGAATTTGGAAGGCATTGTTCAGCTTTCAGCATCACTGGTGAGAACACCAGTACCACTGTGACTCCTGTTGTCTGTCTGTGACTGGTTTTCTCTCTCTGGAAGCTTTTGGTATCTTGTTTTTACTTGCAGAGTTAATATCTCACAATTATGTTCTTTATTTGGCTTCTGTTTCTCACTCACTGAGCTGAGCATTCTATGACGATTTTCAGTTTGGAGACTAATATTATTTCTCAAATAATTTCACCCATTTCCTTTTCTTAAAAAAATTTTTAGAGTTCTTATTCTAAATGTTAATCCTCCCAGATTGAGCATATTTTTCTTTTCTTTTCACCCTTGACAGTTTGTCTTCCCTAAGAAATTCTCTTTTAATTTAACCCTTTTGTTGACTCTCATATTTCATTTTTGGTATTTTTACTTTCAGCGAGCTCTTGTTCTCTGATTTCCATCGCATTCTGTTCTTGTGGATACAGTATCTTATTTCTTTGAGGATGTTAATCATAGTTTTTTTTAAATCAAGCTTCCTTATGACCCTACAGGTTGCCTGTTTCCTCTGATATTTTTTTCCAGATTCTTCCTTTTTTATAGTAGTTTTCCTTCAGTATTCATTGAACCTTAAATGTACATGTATATTTAAGTGTGATGCTCTAACATGCTGACTGGAAGATCTGGGGTGGCCCTTGTTGACTGGTGAACTGTAGGATGAACGGTGAAGGCAGGGAACAGCCCTTACAATTGTAGGTCCTAAATGTCATTGTGAGGACGTCTTTCTTAGAGCCATTCATCTTTTCTAAGAAGAAATCCTTCAGTCCTGCCAGGACTGGTAGAAGTAGTACATGTGGCATTTGAGGGAAGATGACCACGGATCCCAGAGGTCAGCCAGATACCCACTTAAACCCGTTGTTTTCAGCCTGTGCCTCACCTTGTGCTTTTGGGCCTGTACTCTCTAAATACTATCCAGTTTCAACAAAGAGCGAATTTCTTCTGCAAGGAACAGGTTAGGGGTGGTTGGCTGATCTCAGCAGGGAAGAGATGGGTCCTGCCAGGGTTTAATCATCTGTAAACAGACTTTCAGCCAATTCCCTGTTAACAACCACGCGATTCTCTCTTTCCGAGCTGCCTCCAGGTTCTTATCCGTGTTCTTTCCTTCCAAGAAGATGGTGAAATGTTTCCTCTGCTCACATCTCCTCTCTCCATATGGGTTTATAAATTTTATACTCCTTTATTTTAGTGATTTGTGGAGGAAGATAGATGGATACATGTGATTAATCTGCCAGGTTGAACTAGAAGTCTGGCTGAATAATTTTATCCTGAGATCACTAGAAAAATCTTATTTATTTATTGCCAGATGCAATAAATCCTTAAAGAATCCTAAAAAATAAGAAATTAATTAGTATCATATTTTATACATTCTGTAACACAGAAATGTGTGAATCTAGGAAATCAAAAGCATCAACCTTTCCTCCAGCTAACACATTTGAAATATAAATACTTTTGCCATTTACCTTAACTATATTTCATATCAAGATGGCATGCCTTTAAATAAAAACCTCTTAAAACTGAAAACTAGAATTCTATTTTCATCTGTAAATGCCATGTGACTTTTCTGGGCGCAGGCAACTCATGGTTTCTGTGATTTATTTTTAGAGGAGAACACTAAAGAACGGCACAACCACAGCTTGTTACTTTGGAACAATTCACACTGATGCATCGCTGCTCCTTGCGGAAATTACAGGTGAGGAGATGAAAGGATGACTTACAGGCACATGAAGCAGCCAGCCAGACCATGCGGGCAGTGACTTGCACTTGTGAGCAGTCCTGCCTTTTAATTGCTACAATCTGAGCACTGCAGTTCTTGCAGTTAGGTACTTGTGTATCACTGTGGCCCTTGAACTTTTTCTGTTGTTTTAAGTAATCTGATTATTTACTTCTTGTTTTTGGTTGCAGAATGAGGTGTATGGGTCTGATGTGGTGTATTAATTTGAGGCTTTTTGGAGCAGGTTTACTAATTGTAGCTATGTCAACAGTTTATTATAATCAACAGATAGGTCTTGGCTGTTGGCTAGACTTAGGGCACTGTGCTCGACGCTGGAAACACGGTGAAGTGGAAAATAGTCTTTGCCCTTGAGGAGCCAGATGGATTAACTGAAGAGTACGCTCAGTGATTAATAACTTTAGTAACAGCTGTAATGCTCTTACTAGATGTTGGTATTGTGCAAAGAACCCTACATGGATTAGTTCAGCTCAGCTGCAAACAGCCTTCTGGGGCTGTCGTCTGTGTCCTTATGTTACGGATGGATAAACTGACGCTCAGAGAGGTCACGTAACATGCCCAAGTCACACAGCTAGTAAGCAGAGCTGAGACTGGATTTAGATTGATGATTCCAAAACTTGTACCCAGCACAGTACCTAGCACATAGCAGGTGCTCAGTAAATACTATTGACTGATGTGCTGATGCTACTGCTTGCTGACCAAGGTAGTTTATGCCTAAGACCTCAAGGGTGACACTGAAAGCAAATATTGACAATTTTGGAGGAGGCAGAATGAGCCCAGAATCAGATCATGTGGGAAAACTTCAGTGAAGGGACCTTTAAATTGGTCTTTAAAGGGAAGATAAAGTGAAGAGATAGGAAAGTGCCTTTCAGACAGGCACGACATGGGGGTCTGGGTAGGGAGACAGGAACACCCACAGTGGATACAGGAGGCAGAAAAGAGGGTATCTGAACTAGAAGAAAAGATTCATTGCACAGTGGGATGGGAGAGGCTGGGTAGATGGGATGGTTCAGACTACTGGAGATTCAAATATGCATCAAAGACTCAAAACGTTTTAAGCCAGATGAGGTACGTGATGAAGGTGGTGTTTTAAGGAAGAGTAATCTAATGGCTGGGTGTTAAAAAGAATTACAGGGGAAAGAGAGAAGTAGAAAGACTTCTGAAAGACTCTTATGACAGAGGTGGAGACACTGTTAAAAAATTTAACATTACCTCATGTAGCATCAATTTTCTAGCTGAAATAGAATTTCTCTCTTACCTCTGATGAGCATTAGGTTCCGCAGTGCTGAGTACTGCTAGCAGGACTAAGTTAAATTCCCCACAGATGATAATATTGGCACTGCTACAGTTAAAGATAGCGGCAGTATCTCTCCCAAGCCCTGCGCGCCAGACGCTTTATATACATCATTGGGTATATTCCCTGTAACCCTGCATGAAGCAGAGGCCACTGGGCACATCTGTTTTAGACCTTAAACAAATGATATCCTTCATCCTAGGAGGAATCAGAGGAGTAAGGGGCCAACGGAAGAACCCTTACTACTTACAGAATTGATCAGGGTTTTGTTGTTACTGTTCTTAAATGGTGTGACAACCTTTTACATTCTCACATATTTTTTAACCTGATTTTAATTTTATATGTTTTTAGAAGGCTCCTGAAAGGTACAGTTTGGGAAAGAAACATGACTTTAGATTCTTTCGGTGTGTGCCTCACAGATAAATTTGGGCAGCGGGCATTTGTGGGCAAAGTCTGCATGGATTTGAATGACACTGTTCCAGAATACAAGGAAACTACTGAGGAATCAGTCAAGGAAACAGAGAGGTACGTTTGTCTCGGTTTGCCTTGTGGATGGAGCTGGAGACGGAGAGAAGGAACCTGTCTAACCCAGGCAGAGTGTGCACATCTGTCACTGTGTCAGTTTGTCTAACTTTATGAAATTGGTCCGATCCTAAGGAAAATGTTGCATGTCAGCAGTGTTTCCATATACCAAATTATATTTCAAAGCCTCTGGGAACTTGTTATAGGAGTCCTAGGGCAAATCCCTTTATAAAATGAAGGATTTTTTTTAAGTAAATGATTTATGCACTCCCTGTCCTTCATTACATATCTTGGCTTCTCCTGTAGGTCAGACTTGTGTTAAGTGTGTGTGGCCTGCTTGGTAAATTACTTTGGGTTGTGGGTTATTTTGCTGCCGGAGATCCTGAGCGTTTGTTATGTTCTTTTCATTTTACATGGGGCTATGCCACTGATCCTGTACGTATTTTTTCTGTATTTCTTTAATGGCTCTTCCATGGTGCCTTGAGAATTTGACAAGGAATTGTGTTGTATGACATTCAACATCCAAGAGATACCAAAAAAAAATTCTTTAGATTTAAGTCTCCCCAAGACCATATAATATATCCTGATACAAATTTAAGAAGTCCAACTTCTCTCCATTCTCCAGGCCTCCTTCACCTTAAGTGTGTCCTCTGAAGAGGGTGGCTTAGGGGCTGCTGTGTGCCCACAGGGAGAAGGAAGCAGCACACACCTTCCCCTTAGCATCTGGCCACATGCTCAACTTTTCTCTGAATCTGTGGTGGAGGGGGGACAGTGGACCCCAATTCGCATTTTATTCTTCAACAAAGGAAGACCAGAAGGCAGGAAGCTATAGCTCATAAATATTTCCAGCCAGGGCAGAAATAGCTATTTCATAGACCCTACAGATACAACTGGTAAGATTACCACTCCTGTCATTACCCATTTCACAACCATGTCTGGCCTGTTCCTTCTGCCTTAATCCAGCATCACTGCCCAGAAGGACTCGGCCTTTGGCAATAAATGATGCTACCGTGTGAGCAAGTAGCTTCCACTCTAGGGAAACCAGGAGTAGAAGGCCCCATGGCTCTTAAACACCTCCAGGTGCAAAGGACTCGACAACTCTTAACATCCGTAGAACGTAACATATTACGATATTCCCCCAGACAGAGCTTAAGTGTTAGCAGAACACTTGAGTGCTGTGGGAATATTTGCAAACAGCCCAGCTGATGTTAGATGATAAAACTGCACTTCCTGTGATTTTGTATTTCATCTCTCTGGCTGCAGATGAGAAAGCAGAATAATTACTGCTTTTTAATCTTTAATTAGTGGTGGTGAAACATGTGCAGCATTAGAAATGTTTGCGTGGAAATCAGGACATGTAAGGATCATGTTTTCACCCTTTTAAAAACTTATTTGAGAAATGCCTAAATTTTCTAACTTCCCATTTGTTGCCTTATTTCAGATTTGTGTCAGAAATGCTCCAAAGGAATGTAAGTAAACTTGTTCCTGGCTCATTTCTGGATTGCTTTCGTGTTAGCTGTAGGATTCATTAAGTTGTTTGGCAGAGGTTAGTCTGTGTGTGTATGGCTTATTCTGTGCATGCAGAAGTATTTTTCTTGAACCTTAAATTGTTTTCATGGTGGACATATCAACTCAGCTCAGTGAGGTCAGGCATTTTACTTTCTCAGGGTTTTCCCTCCCTCTCCTCTGGGACCTTCTAATTTCATTGGACAGGTCTGTGGGGAAGTGGGAGAGGGCTTCATGGATGTAGACAAATTGGTGGCAACTGGAAGTTGTGGCACAGTTTGTTGGCCACATCACCACTGGCTCTGGCCTCTTGTACCCCTGATCTGGTCTGAAACACAGGTGGTGTCCAGCCCTGATGTCCCAGCCACAGATGGCCGTGGTCCATGTACGTGTGGCATGTCACATGGCCTGCAGGCGCTCAGCCGGCGCCCCCTCTGCAGCGCCCCGATGTTGCTGAGCCTACGGAGGCAGTGCTGTTGTGCTGTTTTCTGCCCCACCTCCAGGCTGGTCTGTGGCTCTGGTGTGCAGTCTCTACGATGGCAAGCCAGACTCTTCCCTCATCATTTTTAAAGATCTGATTGGAAGCCACAGGAAACTTCAGTATTTCTTTCAATCTTATCTTGGGAGACCTAGGTGCAACTTTGCGGATCCTTATCCTTGCCACCCCTCTACGAGTCTGTCTCTGCTGCTCAGCCATTCACTCAGGTGACATCAGAGCCATGCCTGCAGCTCACTAGACAGTGCTCACAGATGCCATGGCCAGCATGATGTAGCAAGGGGAACAGGCCACCACTTCATTTTTAGTCTCCCCAGCATTCTCCTTTAGAACATCTCCTCTGCCTCCTAATTCTTTTCATAAAAGCTGCCCAGTCTGGGCCTTGTCTGTGCCTTCACGTGTCTTTCATTTGGGATGGATCTTCCTTCTGTTGAACTTGGTGCCACAGAATATACCCTTGTGCTCATCTGTGAGCCATTTCCATGAAACCCAGCACTTCCACCCTCTCTTAGAGAGGGGACTGTCCACAGAAAAGAAGACATAAAATCATCTTGTCGTAAGATATGCATTTGGGGGTATGCTACACATTCAGATAGCCACAGTTTCCTTACCGAGTGTTTTTGATTATTTTTAGTATTCTAGGGTGCAGCCCATAGTGACACCACGCTTTCCCCTTTCATGCTCTGAGAGTTTATTGGGTGAACTTGGAAACATTGCGAAGACCCGTGATTTGCACATTCAGGTGGGCATTTTTCTCCTGTTTGTGTCTCTGTCCAGTCCTGCAGGACTTCTCTGTACCCTAAATTCTGGCAGTAAGCTGGTAGTCTCCAGTTCTCCTACTGAGATTGCGGTGGAGGTAGGTTTCCACTCTCCCCTCTTAGTTCTTTTGGTTGGCAATTAACGTGACATGAGGCAGATTAACAGGAGAAAATCAAATTTATTATGTGCACACAGGGAATCCACGTTAAGTATGAAGAATTCCAAAGACA